ACTTGCCTGAAGTGGGAATGTGAGAAGAAGGCTACTTCTTCGGTTCCCACTCCAGCTGTTATTATATACATGCGGGATCGATCACGTGGGGCGCACCATGTCACCCTCGCACACAGCCACGGCTCTCCGGGTGCCTCTGCGGGAGATCCTGCATCAGCAAACCTGGATGCGGAGGCCTGAGAGCTCATTGTTAAAAACCCGGGGTTGTGGGAGAGGGGATAAATGCGTGAGTCCGAATGCAGGTGGGGCTCAACTAGAGGGGGGTCCGAGGGCTCCAGTAGTGAACCGAAGCTTCTCAGGGAGCCCGGTTCTGCTGGATGGTACAAGAGGCTCTAAGAAGGACGCGGCCTCAGCGACTCGGAGGGAGTGCTGTGCCTCCGTTACGTCTCAGTTAGTCCTTGTATTTCTTATGTCTGAGGTGTCTTGTAGAACAGGGACAGGATTCACTCAGAGGGACTTTGGGTGGCATTTTTGTCGAGATTAGAACTGAGGAACTACAGGTTCTAATCTACGTGTATTTATAAAGGAGGATGGGGAGGACTTTAGTCAAAGCCCGAAATGACAAAATGGGGAAAACACCGAAAGGTACCGAATGATACCGAGAGGCACCGAAAGGTTCCGAACGATATCTAAAATGGGGAACCGAGGTGTCGGGCCAAGGAGGGCGGAGTTGGAGGCCGGAAAATGAATGGGGAAGACAAATGGGTAAAGGGGGTTAGCCGACTGAATGATAGTAAGAAGGTAGTCGTGCTAAGAATGGAAGATGACTAATAAGTGATAACGTGAGGGAGATCACCGAAGGATGCAGGTAGCTCCGAAAGCGGAGTTGCATATCCGAAGGATGTTGGGTGACTCCAATAAATGAAGTGGGTGGAGGAATGGTTTAAGGGCATGTCAAGGGATGTCAGAGGTCCGTCAGGATATTGGAGCAAATCCGGGGTCTCCGAATGTTCCGACTCGGGACCCAGGTTCCGGGATGGGAGTGGCCAAGGTTCGGTGTGCCGCAACCAGACCGGAGCTGAGACAGTCAGGAGGGAAGGTGACTTGGGGAGTGGGGAGGCATGGTGTAGGGGATGGTGAAGTTGTTAGGAAGGTGTGATGTGGTGGGAGTGTGCGGGGTCGGGGTTCCGGGATATGACACTCATAGAGCTCTCAGAGCTCTCAGAGTTTCAGTACTTTGAAATTGCAGGTCCCCTTCTCTCAGAGCTCCGAAAAGTAGTCAAAGCTCATAGAGCTATATTTGCACACAGGGGACTATTATCTATATGAGCTCCCTGAGTGTTTAATTTATCCAATATCAAAATTAAAATTTAAGAGCATTGACTCTGGCATCAAGCCAAGTCCCTACCATGCAGGAAACTGAACAAACTGAGCTTAACTTTCAGCCCCCAATGTGGCACTACACACCAAGGGTATATAGCCAAATTAATATATAGACCAAATTTAGGGATATACATATACAGTTAATCTGAAATTACTTAAGGAAAATGCGGGAAAATGAAGGGAGAAATGGGGGGGAAAATGAGGGGAAATTTGAGGGGGGAATGGGGGGAAATTGAGGAGGGAATTGGGGGGGGGGAATGAGGGGGGGAATGAGGGGGGGAATGAGGAGGGGAATGAAGGGAAATTTGAAGGGGGGAATGGGGGGAAATTTGGAGGGGGATTGGGGGGGAAATGAGGGGAAAATTGAAGGGGGGAAATGGGGGGGGAATGAGGGGAAATTTGAAGGAGGAAATTTGGAGGGGAGAATGGGGGGGAAATTGAGGGGGGGGATGAAGGGGAAAATGGGAGGAAAATGAGGGGGAACTGGGGGGTTTCTAAAAAGTCAGGGAAAATTAAGGAAAATTCAGAAAATGGGGGACTTTCTAAAAATGGAGAATCTCCAAAAAATCAGGGGAAATTAGGGGGAAAATCAGAAAATTTGGGATAAGTTAGGGAGAGATATTTCAGGAAATTAGGAATAATTGGAAAAGAAATTAAATCACTTTTTTGATAATTCAATGTGTATTCGAAAGTGCCAAAGTGGGGCAATGTAGCAATGTATGTTTCAGTGTTAGAAAAGTCTCCCACCATGTTTTGGTGAGCCAAATAACCATGGCTTTTTGACCATGGGAAATTTGGTGTCAAAGGCTTGGATGATATCTGAGAAATACATCAGCTTTTGTTTGCTTTATTGGGTGGTATTTTTAATTTACTTCATTTGGAACACTTTTTTAAAACTGATTTATACCCTACATAACATGCATGGTTACATTGCCACACTTTGGTGCTTTCCAATTCACATAGAATCATCAAAATTGGTTGAGTTTTGAGCAAGAAATGAGATGAAAGATAAAGTGCAAATTTTTGAATTTCAGAGTTTTCCTCATATTTTGTAAATAGCAATAAACAAATAAAGTGCTGATTTTAGTAAACACAAAAGGTATATGAGCTTTCAGAGCAATAACAATGGCCATTTTACACACACATATATCCATATTATCTTTGCACTACTGGTGCCAAAATAACTAAGCAGATTTCATGGAGATATGAAGACCATCCATTATTTAAAAACAAAAAGCTCTATGAGCTCTATGAGCTCAGTGAGCTCATAGAGCTCATAGAGCTTTTCAAGTAATGATGCTGGCCATTTAATATGCATTTCCAAAAATGTATATACATATTATCTTTGCACTTCTGCATCCTTAGGAGAACAAAATCATTCAAACATTTAATTTTCTCCACCCAATGTGTAGAGGGTGCACAGCAAAAAGACTCAATTTGCTCACAGAGCTCTGTGAGCTCTGAGAGCTCCCTTGTTATGGAAATGGGAATTTCCCATTTTAGACTCTTATGGGTTCTGTATCACATGATTTGTATAGTAATTAAGTTTAACCAATCAACAATTAACCAAAAACCTGCTGTGCCAACATCTGTTACACCACATGTCAAACCATCTGTGAAACTACCTGTAAAACCTAATGAACCACCTCACCTCCACTTTCCACTTTCCTGCACCAAGAACGGATGAAAATGGGTGCCTCCGGCCCCATTTTTGTAACATCCCTACCAAGTTTGCTGATGTGAGAGGGCCCACTGTGGGTGTGGGGTGAGTGCGGCGGTGGTGGCAGCAATATAGGGATGGTAAGATACAGGAGGGGAAATGGGCATGTGCGCCAGTGATACATTGAGCAGCAGGAAAGGTGGTCCATGTAAGAGAGAGAGAAAGAAAGAAAGGAAGAAAAGGAGGAAAGGAGAAAGGAAGAGGGAGAGGAGGGAGAAGCAGGGAAGCGGAGTGGGGGTCGGGTGGGGGTTGGGCGGGGCATGTCGGGGCATGCCCTGACAAAGAGGAGAGGTCGTCTGTATACAGACAGAAAGAAAGAAAGAAAGAGAGAAGAAAGGGAAAGGAAAGAGGAGGAGCGGGAGGGTGTGGCATGGAGCAGAGCAGCATGCCCTGACACAACTCTACGTAGAATGTGTGACTACTTATCCACCCAGAGTATCACATGTACCTAGTGCCTGGGGTTGACAGGTTCTTGCACAGCCTGGATCTCAAAATTTGTACAAGTCTATGTTGCTCGGCTCAGCTCAGTCTTGCTAGAAGAGAACTGAGTGGGAGGTGAGTCAAAAAATAAAAAATAAAAATCACCCCTGTCACAGCAATGCATTCCGGCCCGTTCCCCACCTGTCCTGATGCCACCCAAGCCCATCCTGCTGCATGAGCATGAGCACAAGCCCTGACCCTCATCCCTATTCTTCTTGAGGACCCCCTGCTGCCCCCACTTGCCCCTAGGCTCCCCTGCACCTGGCTGACTCCCCTCCAGCCACACCAGCCTCCCCACCCCGAGTCCACCTCTGGCACCATGCCCAGTGTGACTCCTCCTACTCTGCCTGCTTGGCCCTCATTGGGCCGCTATCATCCCTGCACCCAACTCCGGTGCTGCTACAACACCATTGCCACTATTGTGGCCCTACTGTCAGGGCATGTTGCTCCACTCCTCCTCTTTCCTTTCCCTTTCTTCTCTCTTTCTTTCTTTCTGTATACAGACAACCTCTCCTCTTACCTGTGTAAGCATGGAGACGTCCAATGCCAAGTAGTCCATGTGGGTACCACACCACCAGATACACTGCACACCCTCACTTATACCTCTCTCCTCTAACACTCAGGATTACCCGTGGAGCCACCTGCGATAGCCTGGCTCTGCCTGGGCTGACATGGCACCCCCACGTGACCTGTTCCTGCCTGTATATAAACCGAGCTGAAGCAGAATCGAAGAAGTAGCCTTCTTCTCATTACTGCTTCAGGCAAGTACCATAGTCTAGCTTAGTTTAGTTTAGCTTTTCATTCTAATAACAACCATTACTGCTTCAGCCTAAGAAGCCAGACAGGGACACAAGCCCAAGTGAGGGCCACTCACCATACATTCCCATTACTCCGCCACCGCCTGGGCCGCTAGCACCAGGGGCTACACTGCTACCCCTGCCTCTCCTGTACCATCCCTGACACCTACACTCTGTCTTGTTTACCTATTATTGTTTGTTTTGACCCATGGTCATTGCTGGCCACTATGCAGCCAACTCCATTCCATATTCATATTTGCTTCCGGACCCTTCGGCCTTCGGCCCAGGTCCGCTTCCATTCATTCATTCTCTCTAAGATAGACGACTTTCAAATCCTGGTACTATCCGGATGCAAATTATTGCAAAATTCACATTGCTGCTCATCCCCCCCTCAACACTTTTGATGCCAATGTGGCACCTGAAAGGTGTAGAGGTGATGCTGTTTTATATCTTCTCGGTTTCCAAATGTTGATATACATCATTATTATTAAATGAATTTCAATATACTTCATTACATCGGAATCCGCATCTCTTTCACTCCCTGACCAGAATCCTGCAAAAAAAAAAAGACCCCCCATTTCAAGTTTGCCGGCATGGGCAGTGTGAAACTGTATTACGGGGATTGCCGGATCCAAAAAAGGAAGCCATGCCTTTCTACCCTTTAAGTGCTGTGCTCACTCATGCCTGTACACAGGAAGCACCATCACGCAAACAATCTTGGGGAATACTCTAAGGTATGCCACTGACTAGCCAAGGCACTATCCATTCTGAGTTAGCAAAACTTTTTGGACTCAGAAAAAACTGCGCAACACCACCCCGGGCCCTAACCTCATGGCTCATGAAGACTCCAGACTTGGAAACTTTGGTATTGAGCCAGAAAGTGATAGTTGTGACAGCCAGTCTGAAGTTGAGGATGGGAATGAGGATGGACTTGGAAACTGTGACATTGAGCCAGAAAGTGACAGTGATGACAGTCAGTCCGGAGCTGAGGATTGGAATGAGGATGTCGACATCACCTATTTCGATACCCCACTAGCTGAGCGCTTGTCTAAAGCCGAAGATGTCCTTTCACATCTAATAAACAAGCGTGGTGCAATACCTGGAAACAAAGTCCATTATGCAGGGACCACAATCAATGGCACCCCAGCAGAATGCACCCGACGCTATCATGCAGCCAAGCAAAGGGCTACTAAGGAATACAAGAGGCAATCAAAAAAACTGTGTCTGATGGGAAGAAACAGACCCTACATGACTTTTTCCACCGACACCACGTATCCAACTCCCATACCCCATTTCCCTGCGACCCAATCGCCATTAGTGACACCAACATGAGTAGTGATGACACTACACAATGTAATGATCAAATCCTTGGTGATGCTGATGGCCAGGCTCTGGGTGAGCCTCCGCACTGTATGGATTCCATCAATCCTGAGTCAGATGCAACTTTTGTGTATCCAAACCCACAGCGGCTCGATGTACCTGAAGTATGCACATCAGAAACTGCAATGCCAAGTCCAACAGTGTGTGAGGAACCCCTTGCACGAACCCACGACCACCCCTGCACATTTGTCCCTGCCCCATCCTGAAAGTTAGCTGAAGAAGCTGCACAACACATCAGTGAAATCATCCGGCCCCACCGGAAAGGTGGTGGCCATAATTGTTTACAGAGGGGTTAGTTTTTTTTTCGTGGGAATATACCGTGTGAAAGTGCAATCCCACCCCCCCATGGCCACCCCGTGAGAAATGGCCACCCCATGGGATCTGTGCAACATCGGATCCAAATGTATATCTCATCCGTGCAATGTGTGTGCCACAAAATATTGTGGCAACACTTGCAGTGTTGTATGTTAATAAATACATAATAATCATAACAATCATTTAAACTATATATTTATTAACTTTGAGGGAAACTTAGGCTCTATGTAGCCTTTAACCTTATCAACATAAGAGGGATGGCTCACCCGTGATATTGTGGCTGTGCTACATACACGCGCGCAAGCTGCAGCCCTCTCTCTCCCTCTGCAACTCCTTGCTACTGGCTCTCAGGCCCTTTCTGCAAAGCCTTAAGTGCCCTGGGCTTAGGATTTTGTATAAGTAGTACTATTTGGAGCAGATCCATAGGGTTCAAAGGTCTACTGAAGTGCGACCCCTGTCCCCCAGCCCCTGTGTTAGCCCGCACAGACTGGGATCAGTTCGGCAGTTTAAGACCAGCACCTCTCATAGCCTACAAGTTGTAGGGATTCCTGGCCCCTTTTTTCCTTTTGGAAAATACGTTGAAAGAGGGCTCGCGGCTCTCTATGCCGACACAGCTCGTGGGGGACAACTCTCCCTAAACTCTACTTTCTTGACTTAACTTGCTACGTTCTCGATCCTTAACTCCGCGGTGGGTTCTCCAGGATTTCCGCAAGGTCCGGGCTCAGTGTCCACTACTCACTCGTTGTGAGCTAGATCACTGCCTGTCACGACCATGCATTCTGACCCAGATGCCGGCCCTTATTCTGTTTCCTTTTGTTTCATTTTGTCACCTGACTCATTCAGTTTCTTACTATAAATATATGTATATTACATTATTATAACTTTAGTCTGAATATCGACATGGTTTGTCCCCCTAACAAGGCAGCCCCAAGCCACTTCGAAATGTGGGCAATGAGACAGTAGGTGGGCACAGCGCTCTCTTGGAGTCGCTGAGGCCGAAGCCCAACCCCGGAGCCTTGTCCCCGCTGGTCGTCCCCGTTTGCTGACCCGTACCTAACACTGCCCTTATTCCTACTGTTGGAATTCCACACACTCACACCCTCTCTAGCGCGTCCTAGCACCTTAGAGAAAATGGGGGAGGGGAGAACTTCTTTTCACAAATCCAGTATGTACAGGATTATATCTAATAATTATTTTTAGAAATAATAGATGAGAAATATTGGTGCCATATGGCACCTGGGTACCTTATTAGGCAAAGTAATAAAAAAGGGTAACAGTAACAATAAAAGAATATCAATCAATATCTGAAATGATGGCAAAATATGAAAATAAGAGAAAATAAGCGATATCTCAATGGATTTACGGAATTAAGAGCCTAAATTGGAAATGTAGCCGGAGATAACTTTCACGCAGCCAATGAGCATTTTTACCCATTTATTAGATGCCGTGGGAACGAGTGAGGCTGGAATTCTGGGTTGCCGCCTGAGATTCCCACGCCCGCACATGCCCGTGACCTGCTGTGCCTAACTTCTCCAACACGGAACTCTGTCAAATCTCCACCGATTGGGACGTTCTTGGTATCGTCAGAATTGTACGAATTAGGACTATTTTTGGATACCAAATTTGTACCGAGTCGTCGCGTGAATGAAAGTTGTTTTCTGATCGTGGAAGTGGGTATCCGAGCCGAGTCTGTGCGTGGGCGATTATCCCGCCTACAACGTCAGCCTTGCTCCTTACTGCAACTTGTGCAGCGAGCCTGTTCCCTGCTTCACAATAGGAAATTTATTCAATTTGCCTGTAATAGGGCATATTGCCTTTGCAGAGGCCTTTTCTGTTTATACTGTGTGCACATTGAAGCTGTGGGTGCAAGAATATTTATAATTAACATCTTATGGAGTTAATTTAAATAAATTTTTAGATGCCAACTGAGGATGAGATCCTCCATGCAGAGAAGATGAGGAGAAGAAATGAGAGGAAGAAGCTGAATCGTGCAGCTAGCCAAGGATCGCTACATACACCACTCACTCAAATCCATTCTCAATCAACTGTTGCTGGGCCCTCCCAACCACCCAACTCTTCTGGGACATCTCAACAGAGATCCCAACATAATCGAAATCCATCTATTGGGACACAGCTTGCCCTTGACCTTCAACAACTGGATGTCCAATCTCAGGTTGGGTCTGAAACCCCTGAAATTCCTAGGAATACACTACGTATGTTGTATTCAGTTCTCAGTAGAATACACAGAATAACTTTCTACACAGAATAACTTTCTACACAGAAATCACTCCACCAAGCTCTGCTGGTCCTCGACTTCACTCTGACTGTCTCTCACATACTCCTGAAGAGACACGTAGACAGCACCAGAGGACTCGTATTGGGTCTCCAGCTCAAGGTGGAGCTGATGTTGGCATGTATTCACCCTCTGGGCCTCTTGAGCCTTTCTCCCTTCCTGGGCCTTCATCTGTGCCTCAAAGTCATCATCATGAATCATCTCAAGATTCCGTTCAAGTTCATAATTCTCCAGAGCCAATGCAAAGATGCAATCGTGGCCATAATGCACCTGTCTCTGCATTTGATGGAGATAGGAACAGGTGTCGGAGATGTATTGACACTGATCGCAGGTACAAGGAGGCTCGCCAAAAGGCAGCCCAGGAGCGAATGGTGGATCAATCTTCACCTCCCCCCTCATCTCCCATTTCATCACAGGAACAACCTTCTCCTGCACCCTCTAGGCCATTATCTCCTCTGCCTTCATCCTCACCTCCAGACCTATCAGATTCACAGTGGGATCAAGGGCTCAATGATGAAGATTTGATGAGAGGATTTGCATCTGCAGTATCCGCCAATGATCGTGCTCTGTTAAAAAAGTTTCGAGAAGAGCTGATGAAGGTTCAAATGGAACACTGCGATGCTTGCCATGAAACATGGTTTGACTTGAAAGTCAAGGATGGACATTGTGCGAAGTGCAGAAAGTGATCAAGTATACAGCAGCAAATTCCATGGACCCAGGCTGCAAGCCACAGTTCATTGCGGACGATCCTTCTTTGGAGCTCACACAGATCGAGGAGATGCTGCTTGCCCCAATTCATGTTGTCATGCAAGCCCACACTGTGTATGGTGGACAGATGAAGTATTCTGGACACATTTGCAACTTTGTCCGTGATACTTCTGAAGTTCGCCAGTTGCTCCCCATCCTTCCTGAGGAGTGTGAAGTCATCCAGATCCAATGGGAGGGTCCAGATCATGTCCTTGGTCATGATGTCCAGCATCTCTACTATGTTTGGTGCCATGTTGTTCAGCTGTGGTTAGAATGGCTTGTTGAGCATCACCCAGCATATCAACATGTCATTATTAGCCAGGAGAATCTGTCCCAACTTCCAGAGAGTGGTAGTGTCCAGCACCGCCTACAGTCCATTAGGATCAGTGAAGCAGGTGATGAAGGAGATGATATCCTGGGGCCATCAAATGGAGATGAGACTGATGGAGCAGAGGGGGGGAGGGCACTTTTCACATCAGGATTTGTTCCAAATGTGAATGAGGAGCGAGTCTCTGAGCTCCAAAACTTGCGCATGGCAGCACAGGCAGGACAAGGGCCTATTCTCATGCCGCACATTGAGTCCCAGCCAATCAGTGAATGGCATGACAATCCTATTGCCTCAAGGGCTTTCCCTAGCCTCTTCCCTTCTGGCCAGGCAGACTTTTGCAGTCCCCGTCAAAAACCAGTCTCATTCTCTGAATGGGCTTCACACCTCATGCGATATGAGGATGGTCGCTTTGCAAAACACCCTTGCTTTTGCTATTGGGCATTGAACACAATAATGCGCACTCAGGCCAAAAAAGACTCTTCATGGTATCTTACCACTCACCCAGATGAACGACAGTGGACAGTTGAGCAGATAAGGGAAATGGTGGCAGATGCTGGGCCTGACCAGCTGAGGGAACTAGCAAAGCGTGTCTCCAGATCAGGAGTGAAACTTGTGGGAACTAAACCATTTTGGATGGCACGTTGAAAGAGGGCTCGCGGCTCTCTATGCCGACTAAGCTCGTGGGGGCCAAACTCCCTAAACTCCTACTTTCTTGACTATACTCTGCTTATCTCTCGATCCTTAACTCCGCGGTGGGTTCTCCGGGATTTCCGCAAGGTCCGGGCTCAGTGTCCACTACTCACTCGTTGTGAGCTAGATCACTGCCCTTATTCCTACTGTTGGAATTCCACACACTCACACCCTCTCTAGCGCGTCCTAGCACCTTAGAGAAAATTGGGGGAGGGGAGAACTTTTTTCAAAATCCGGTATGTACAGGATTATATCTAATAATTATTTTTAGAAAGAATAGATGGGGAATATTGGTACCATATGGCACCTGGGTACCTTATTAGGCGAAATAATAAAAAAGGGTAACAGTAACAATAAAAGAATATCAATCAATATCTGAAATGATGGCAAAATATGAAAATAAAAGAAAATAAGCGATTTCTCAACGGATTTACGGAATTAAGATCCAAAATTGGAAATGTGACTGAATAGAACTATTATGCAGCCAACGAGCATTTTTACCAATTTATTAGACGCCGTGGGAATGAGTGAGGCTGGAATTCTGGGTTGCCGCTTGAGATTCCCACGCCCGCACATACT